TCTCAGTAATTTACCTCTACTACTGCTCTTTTTTTGAGCAGTTAAAAAAAACAGATGTCACCAAGGGCATCTCCAAAAATAACAGATTCACCAAAAAAATAGAAGAAAAAGAATTGCAGAGAATTTCTTACAGAAGCTGCTTAAAATGTTAGACTTCATCCATCTTTTAATTACGTGATTCGATGTGACAGGACACCTCCTTGGTGAGAGAAAGATGCTGCAAGACAGAAGACCTATGACCAGAAACCTTTGCCATGAGGGAGACAGTCAACAGCAGAGGCGTTGCCCACACAGGCCTGTAACATAATAGGCAGCAAACAGATAGGACCAAAAAGGCCATACGTGATCATTAAGCAACTGACACAGTTACCCTTTGTTCAACAGTCTGGCAACGGAGCTAATGTCTCCATAATTTAAACTGTACCATATTTCTCTTGCTTTCCTTTTCCTCCTTTCCACATCACTGCCTAGAAATCCTTCTGGGCAAGCATATGTGGCTGCAAGAGACCAGACAGATTGGCTCCTCCACCATCAGCAGGCTTGGAAGGAAGAGCAACAAAGCCTGCAGTTCTAAATCATCTCCTTGGGGACTGCAAATTGTTTCATATGCRAATTAAACTTTGTAACACACATTTTGGGACCAAATTTTCCAGAAGGATGATTCTGGACACTAACAAGGAAATGTGCAATAAAACAAACAGTGGAAGTCGCTCYTTCAGAATCTCATCCCGTGATTTAGTCACAAGATATTTTCCTATGTACCAAGAAATCAATGCAAACCTCTTAACAGACCAGTAAACGGGCTCTATGTGTTTATCATATCACAGACATCTGTTATTTATGTAGATGAAGAATTACTGTACATCAAAAAAGCAGCTGACACTACTGACTGCCAGCCAGAAAGCCTGACTTGCCATTTGTATTTTAAAGCTATTGGTTAATCATGCTAAAGCATTGTTTCCATATAAACCTCTAACCTGTTCAGAGAGAGGGCAGGATGAAGTCTATGAAGATGATTAATTTAATTCTCTCTGAAAGCTCTTAATCACCTGCAGTGCTGCTAGAATGAACTGCACTGCTGAGAAGACATTCTGCTGCTGGCAGAGAAGGGTTTCAGCTATTAGTGTAATGTAAAAACAAACAAAGTGAAATATCAACTACAATTTATAATAAGTTTTCTGRTTGAAAAAAACAGCTGTATAGGATCTTTGAGAGCAAAAGTATTTCAAGCAGAATCTTGACTCAAAATTCCTGGACAAACATGTGTAATCTGTTGATCCAACATAAAGAGATACTACCTTATTCAGGTTAACTAACAGAGCAAAGAGAATAAAAAGCAATCCACCCCATTAAGGCYACATGGTTAGCACACTTTCTTTGGCACGAAAGTGCAATATAGACTTGGTGCTACCTGTTGTATGAGTACTTCAAGACCTCAGGAATAGAGAGGCAGCTGCAAACACAGGTCAATAGCTTCCCGAAGTCACAAGCCTCTGTACTGTATGGCAAGTCTAACTCACTTTCTTTTACAGGCAAGTTTTCCTGGCCTTTTTTCTTTTTCCTCCTTTTTTTATTCTTTTTTTTTTTTTCCCCCACCTTTAACTTTTTTTTTTTTTTTGCAATAGCTGCAAACTAATGTTTTAGTATCTGGACTAAGAACAGAATTGATCTGAACTTGGCTGCTGCAATGCAATAGTGCAACGGGGAACTTGGTTACAAGCAGAGATTCCAACATAATTAATCTACCACTTAGTCTTTGTGTAGAAATGTTGTCACAAAAAGTTTTCAAAGCATTTGCAGTGGGTACCAAAGCATTAGATTGTGACAAACCTGTACAACATTCTGAAAACGGTTTGAATTTGTCTTTGCTGAATGAGTGACCCTTTTAGCTTTATCAGAACACTGTAAGACAGTACTTGTAAACTGCCCCCGAGTAACCCTGTTGCACACACAAGACTTGATTCAAATCAGAATACTTTTTACATCTCAGATGCAACTAGGATCTAAGGATCACACAGGCTGTGAGCATAGCTATAGTCTGGCAGTAGTCATGGGGAATTCCTCTGGAAGATTGAGGTCTAACTGTTACCTTACCTAAAAGTAAAAACTTACCTTACCTAAAAGATCAGATAATTTCTTATCTAAAAGAAATCCATTATTTTTCCCTACATCAGTTATACACAATTCTGCAAAATTCTCTTACTCTTCCAAGTACTTTCATTTTGTTTGAATGAACTCCACATGGCAAGATTTTTTTTTTTTAAATGATCTGAAAGACAAATTAATGCAAGCTAAAAAGCAGCAGAAAGAAAAGCCTTTGATTCCTTTTCTACCCACTGACTAAGGGACCCACCAACCACATGCAAGCAGCATCAGAAAAGCATAACAAGCTCGTGGCTCTTTACATTGTATGATGCTTCAGACTTGCCCCAGTAATAGGGGAAAAAAGAAAAAGTTCTGCAATGATCTGCTTAGTCTCAATCCATGTGATGGAGACTGATGTCCATGTCTATTAGGAACTGTTAAAAATCCAGATTTTGTCCTCTATCAGTTTTTGGGTTAGCAATTTTTGTAATTCTCAGAGGATATTCTGAAATAATGAGCATCTTATGCATGCCCTCTCCGAGCTTTTTCCAAAATCTCATCAGCGAGAGCTGATAAGGGTTGATGAAGTACTAACCACAAAACTAGTTAGGAGCATCTATTCTGCAATTTGAGTAAAATCTTAACTCCAATAACTTTATGCCCCAAGAAGGCTACATTTACTTGCCAGCCATAATTTCTGCCCACCTTTAAACACTTATTTGAATAAGATAGGAAGCATGAAATGGACAAAACACAAACAAGATTCTTTTAAGGAAATACCTCACTGACTACTGGCTGTAACATCTTCAATTCTTATGTGAACTAGTCATTAAAAACATCTCTTTCACAGATACCACATGAAAACTCACTAGTATTTCCCACTTCTTGATAAGCAGGGAGAAAGAGGAAGAATCCTTTATGAACAGCTTAAAAGTGTTTTCTTACTTGCATTTAAATTTTAATAGTCAGCCACTCTTGTACATTACATCAGAACATTGTATATTATAACTCAACCATAAGCCACACAGGTTATTTTTTCTTTGGGCAATTTTATGGATCTCTGCTAAAAAAAATCTGTTCAAATCACTAAGAGTCTTTTTTGAATTAATATTAATATTATACATACTATGTTGTATACGAGAATATATAACTTCATAGATGAGAGATTAAAGACTCCTGACAAAAAGATAAAGATTTCAAGGCACTTGAGATGAAAACTGAATCAATGATATGCTTTCTCATAGGCAGGTGCCAATATCCAAGGTTTCCATATGCTAATGTAGAGCACACAACAGCTGATTTTATCAACACATTATTTTAGCTACACACATCACTGTTACAGGATAGGATTTGTTTTTCTATAGAGTCTCTTCTTGATACAACACATAGTAATCTTTTACTGTCTCAAAAATAAGAATTATATAATTACTTATACAAACCCAGGTTAAAAATAAGGCAAAATACATAGAGAAGGTATTCCAAACATGAATGTAATGCAAGTAAACATATTACCATAAAATTACTTTGGTTTTCAATAAAAAATTCTTTATGAAAAACACCATTTCTCAGTAAAAACTTTTACATTTCTTTATATTTTAAATTTCCAGCTCTACATTAACAAATGCTTGATATCTCACATTCTACATGTTATTTGCCATTTTCCTACTAGATGTTTCCAATAGATTTCCACTGTAATGTCTCTTTGGGATATTAATAAATAATCAGCAATATTCAGACCAATCTTAGGGTTAGATCATCTTTTTTTTCCAAAATGTTCCCTACTTTTCAGTACAATATAGTTTTATTAATAGTTGCAGAAGTGTAATAATCTTCCATGCTTGTGCTTACAAGACAACCAGGATTGGTTTTGTGGCCTGCATGTAATAAAATAGGTGTTCCTAAGTAACTCATTCTACTAGTAGGTTGCAAGTTGTTCAGTTCTAAGATTCCAGAGYTGATCCGGATCATAAGAGAACACAATGTCCATTGGGAGGTAGGGAAGTGCCCGGGGGGAAAAAAAAAATGAGGATTTGGAGAAAGAAAAACAGCAAAGCAGCAAGACGTGTACTTTTTTGTTCAGACATTTTTCCTGTCTTGACTGAAAGCAATACTGAGATGCAAAGCTATCTTTATCCCTTAATAAATTTATAATCCTAGCTGCTATTTGAACTAATGCAAATTTGAAAGCCACAAACAAAAAGCACAAATCAGSTCATGACTCCTATGCAAGAAAAGGTCTAATCACCAATTGGAGGAAAGACAAACATGGTGAAACATTTGTAACACATGGTTTCATGCGACTTAACTAAAGCTTTTAATATCCATCAGATGGAGGGTGCTCTGCAAGTTTTGAAAACTTTTTCTTGTGTTCATGTATAGTTTTGATCAAGTAGATTTTGCTTAAAATATTACCTCCACAAATTAAAATATTACCAAATTAAATATTACCTCAACTGAAATAAATCTAATAGATAAACTGATTCTCTTCAATAATTCTGTGAAAGATTGTTATAATGATGTTAAGATATGGAAAGAAATCTAAAGAAATCTTTAGTAGAATAACTATTTAACCATGAAAATAGATGTTTTACAGTGTTGTCTCATTTCTGAGACCATCAACACAATATCTTAATACTATCCAAAAGCCCTTTTATAGCAATTTTCAAATTGAACATGACCCAAAGAGCATCCAGCCTTCTTCTTGAAGAAAATTAATCATGAAGGACCTGAAATAAAAACTTTACTATAACATATTCAAATAATGACTTTATTATAACATATTACACTATTCAGGTAATCAATAAAGAGATTAGAGAGTAAATCAATAAAGCTGTTGAAATGGCAAGTTGTCAACTCTTTCCATTAAATCTGTGGCACAGCTCTGCTTGTCACTGAAGTCTATAAGCACAACTTACCCCTCACGTTACATGCGCTGCCTTGGCTATGTTGCAAACTATCGGCCTTGAAGGTGGATTTGTAACAGACCAGCTGGAAGCAAGAGGAAAAATAAGTTTAACTTTAATTTGACTGACRTCACTGCAAAAGACTTTCAACAACTCTTGAAAGTCTTTGACCCGATATATTTCAGTGATGTAATTCTGGTCTTATTTCTTGTAATATTTACTCAAATATCTGTTTTTTATTCAAGATGTCCATATTTAGATTATTGCAGTGTGGTGGGGGGGTCTAATATTTGATTTTAAATATCACCTGCTTAATAAAACACTCTCACCTGAAAATGTTCAGATCATTTTACAACTTATTTGCTTTGCCATCATCCCCAAATGTGTTATCASTTCACAGAAGAACTGCATCCCAAAATACAGCTGGGAATGGTATCTTCATGGGAAGGAAGAACCCCTGTCACACACCTCCATAACAATTAATCTCATACAGTTAAATATTGCACAAAACAGCATTTCTAAAATGGGACATGGTAAACTGCCCTTTAAAGACAGCTTCTTCGATTGCCAGTGGAGAAAGTTATGCCAGTTTAGTTTAAACACTCCTTTTTCTGAACCCAAAATTAGAATAGATCAGCCTGATTTCTAATACTTAAAAGCTTACTAATGCAAACATCAAGTAATACTCATAAACATTGAAGTTTACAAATACTGATAAGTTTCTAAGGCAATTCTTAGATTAATTAGTCCTATGGAAACTCAAAAGCAAGAAGTCACATAGTAGTTTGTTTCAAGGTTATTGATAGGAACCTGAATATTGTTTCACGCTAATGAAATAAGCAGTCTCTTAAAGCTTGCCTTTTCATGGTCTAACCTCAGTAACATAAATAGGAATTACCATACTACTGAATTATCACTCTTAATTTTAGCAAAAAGTCTAATAAAATAGCAAATATGAAAGTAAGATTATCTTTTCCATTCCTTTATGAAGGCAGCTTTAAAAAACGCAGACCGGAAACACGTGTCTCTTAGCTGCACACACATCAACCGTAGATTTAACATATGGGTACAGATGTTACACAAGGAGTTCTCTTCACAAGCCCTCCAAAAAAAAAAAAAAAACCCCAAAAAATTAAAGGACGCTCTTCCAGGCTACCCTGCTACATTATAAAGTATTTACAAATATTTCTTTCATTTAAAAATATTTTCTTCTTTACCTTGGATAAATGTGAATAAAGTTTACCTTGAATAAAACCTACAAGTTTTTACCAGACTGTACTTAGAGTGTCAATTCTGAGCATGAACTTAGAGCAAATGTAGGAATGCTGTTTAGGACACAGCAAAAGTACATAGCACGTAGCTGGCCCTGTACCATTACAGCACAGGAGGCAGAGACTGTGTGGCAAGAAGCACAAAGGCATCCTGAAAATGAACAAAAAGCTAAAAACCTGGCAMAAATAGAAAGGAAATATCATGGAGGAACAGAAATATGCTTACAGCCTATATGTAACATAGAAGGACACTAAAAACACTGTAGTATTTAAAACCCAGTGAACTGAAGGGCTTCTATCAGGAGGCAATACATTGACTACAACAGGAATACAAAATTACTGACGAGGATAAAAAAAGGGGGGGAGAAAAACTTTAAATATGGGACAGATCAAAAGTCTCTCTCAAACATCTGAGGAAGGTCATAAAGCCATGGTTGTTAAAGGAAACTTATCAGAACTTCCTCCCAAGAAATCTAGAACTTCAAGGAAAAAGAGTCAGATAAAAAGGCAGATTATAGAAAGAACTTCAGAAGCAGAAGCTAGACATAGCAGATCTTGGCAAGAACCAAAAAACAGTGCCTATGGATAAAAACCTCCACAAAACTGTAAGGGATCAACGAAAATATCACATCCATGAAGAAAAGAAACAGTGCTGAGTGCCAAAGGTGGCAGACTATGAAGGATGAAACAAGGAGGCTGCCTCAAATTAAACTGCAAGTCACCTGTGACCTTGCCATAATTCAATGAGCTGCAAGGGTCAGAAATAAAACTGGAGGGGCTAAGTAAAAGTGTGGGTAGTCAAGATCAAAAGAGTATAACAAATATACCATTCCATATTTTGAAAGAACTGAGGACAAAGTATAAGTTGAAGGGTAATTTATGCTGTGAAGAAACTGAAGCAGGGCAATTGAAACTGCAGCAGAAATGGAAAGGGGCAAAGTTAGAAACAGTAGGAAGTTAAAGCAATGAAATCAATTGTGATATTTAGCAGCAGAAAGCACAAAGCAGTCTTCTAAATTTTAAGGAGGATAAAAGGATTGCAGTAAAGACTTGCAGCTATTTTTAAGTCAGTTTCTTTGATGCACAACTAAAATGAWCCCTTAACATCAGCCTGCTCAGACATTCTAAGCAATCATCACATTTTCAAAACACATTGCATTAAATTCCTGAAGGAGAAATTTTAATATATTTGAAAAAACACTTTTACCTTTTTATTCCTACCATCTGGAAACATTTAAAGTTGCTAAAAATTGCTACTAGGGAGAAGAGAAAATTAAAAAAAAAAAAAAAAAAAGAAAGAAAGGCAGGCTTCATACAGCCTCCTCCATACCAGGAAGTCAATGCAAATCGGGAATGATTTGCTACTGGCACTTAACCTTCACCTTACAGTTTATTTTTAGGATTGAGTGACAAGCTGTAACTTCAGAGTAGAAGAACAACGGGAAAAATAGAAAAACATGGCTCAGTCTTACTTTCAAATACAAAAATTAAACCTTAAATTGCTTTTTAACGAGTGAGCAGAAAGAAGCAAAAAAAAAGCAAAACAAACACACACTCAACATATAATTGACTTAACTGTGAATTTCCTGTGGCAGTCTTTCAATTGCTATTTTCATAGCTTACATGAACTAAAAACTCTGGAACAGGGAGACTATCTATATAAAAGTCTAAAACGCAGTCTAAAACCAATCTGTAACACCTAGCAGTATTTAGTCACTGCTTGGACACTGTCCTGGTTCTGAATGAACCTGTTCTATCACACCCATGTTAAAAGCAACCTGAGTATTAGACCCATGCTGTATGTAAACTGCTTAGTCAACAGTTCATTAGGCAATGCAGTTGAGAAAGAACAGGTCCCCAATATGCCAATCCCTTAAGTGCCAGTCTTCTTGAGAGAGCAAGCATAACTACTTCTGACCCCAGAGAGCTCAACAAATTTGCTTAGTTTTAGTTTCCAGTTGTTACTGAAAACTCTCAAACTTCTCCCCCCTACTTTGGCTACCCAGAAACAAACACCAAGGCTGAAAAACAAAACTTCGTAGGTACTMGGAATCTATGCAATGGCATTTTAAGATTTCCCTCTCCACCCCCATCCTACATTAATTAGTAAGTTCAAACTACTAGAGATAAATTAACCACAAACCACTTTCTATCCAAAAGCAAATAAAATAGTTAATAATATTACAGCCATCTTTTGGCTTTTGCATTCTAATCAAGGCTACAGTTCCCACCTTAAAGAACATCAAAAAAAAAACCCAAAAATATAGAAATATCATAGAAAGGAACACAAAACAGTTTAAAAAAATGAGATTCTGCAAGTTAAAGTGGTACAGATAACATGGAAAAACCTTATGAACCAGTTTCTCTGTTATTGTATTTAATTCTAAGCTATCTACATGAAACTTTCAAAAGAAGATAACAGGTCCAGCACAACCATACAGATGAAAGAAAACTAATCTGGACCATGGCTGTATGTTGGTATTACCCTTAGACACACATATAGGCACAGCATTAATATCCTCCACAGAAAGTTTTGCATCTTAAGCCTGAGCAGTCTATACAGAGGTTACAAAAATGCAGTCTTCTGACCAGCAAACATTAATCACTAAACAAAGCAGGTCTGCTTACTAGCTCCTCTATAACAGGCCTATTTGAGAGGTCCTCAGTTCGTGGAATAGTATTTCCCTTGAAATTGATTTTGTTCGGATTCAAGGGACTAACTCATGACACCACATTGTTACTTCATGCATAAGCTCTTTGTGGCAGGAGCCATCTTCTCATTCCGTGACGGGACAGTGCCTAGCACAGTGTGTTCCTGTACACTATAAATACTATTAGCACTACTAATTACTCAGTATACGATGCCAACAGATTCTTAAGAGGCTTCTGTCCCAGCATGCTGCAGCAGGCGAAAAGTGTTAACACGTGATGCAAAGTTCAGTTCCAGTTTCCCCCGGTGCCCTTATTTCCTTCTGAAGCACTTTGCTAATCTCCACAACGCACATCTGGGCTGTTGGACGGCTGTTTGGCCAAAAATCCCTTCCTGACTCAGGTCAATGCTTTCAGTTCATTAAAGTTGTACTTCTTTCAAGAGGGCTACTAAGCTGCCATTTGATCCCCATAACTGGTATATCTCAATACTTCACAACTTTTACTGATTTTACATTAACTACTCTCCTTAGATTGGAGAATACTATCATGCTAATAAAATTGCCTGAGGAAAGACACAAGTGATCTTTAAAACCTTTTAATGCTCTGATTTCATATGAGGCTTAAGCGTTCCCTAATTCTTACAGAGTGTTTGCCTCACAGTTACATCTCCTAAGACTTAAATCATGGCCTTAATGGCAAGATCAACTTCCTGCCTCCCCTCACAGCCTAAGTTACCACCAAGACATCTGTTAACTGCCCCTTACCCAGAAGGTGGCAACACCTCCTGCTTTCAAATGAAGCAATGCTATTCATTCTGCAGCCTATAAACAGCATGACCGTTAAAACACACTCGTATTTCAGGCTGATGGAGTCACTTATGGGAAAAGGAGGAGGCAAAATAAGGAAAGTCACACCCGTCCCAGCAATTAAACCTCACAGGGTGCTAATAGTTTCACAGTCACATCACACGCTGTGCAGCTCATTGCCGGGGCAGTGCAGTGGCAGGTCTGGAAAGGACGCTGYTTTCCAGAGGCCTCCCGCTGCTCAAGAGGCTTCTCCCCACCCCCAACCCCCCCACCTCAGCAGGCACCAACCGCCACCGCAGCCTCTCAACCGCCACAGTAACGGTCATGGAAGGCCCAGCGCCCCGAGGGGTGGAGGCTACAGGATGGGGCGAAGCCACCCTTTATAGAGGCCGCGCTAGGAGCGCAGAGCAGACCGCARGTGAAGGGAAGGAGAGAAGGAAGGAAGGCCGTTCCGCCTGCCCAGCGCTGCCTCAGCGCGGGCAAAGGAAGGGGGCTCCCAGCCCTCCTCCATCTTAAAGCCGGACACCAACTTACCCGCCCGAGGTCTCGCCGGGTTCCTATTGGCTGGCGCCGCCACCGCCGCGTCACGTGGGGAAGGAAAGGGGCGGGGCACCTTCCCCCCCCCGTCCGTCGCCGCAAGCCAAGGAACCGTTTGTGGGCGGAGGGGGGGGTATCGCGCGCGCGCATGCGCCTGACGGGGAGGCGCGAGGCGGCTGSGCGCATGCGCTGTGGCGGTGGCGGCGGCCGTTGGGGCGCGAGGCGGTAACGGCCGTAACGGCCACGGAGGAGGCGCCCGTGCGGCCGCCCCTCCCCGCAGGAAGCGGAGCCGCCCGCGCCGCGCTGAGAGGGCGGAGGGGCCCGCGGCAGCGCCGCCCTTCCCGCGCAGCCCGCCCCGCGCTCCGGTGCCCGGCGGGCGGTGAGGGCGGGAGGGCAGCGCCGGCCCCGCCTCCGCGGGCCGCGTCCCCCGCCGCATCCGAGCCCGGCACTTGTTGCTGACGCGATGGTGGCTGGTGCTGCCTAGGGAGCCGCGTCGCGCGGGGGGGGGGGGGGCTGCGCCCCACTTTTATCCTGTTTTATTTTTAATTGCTGTTATTTATTTTTCCGTCGATTTCGTTGCGCTCTTACGACCCCGAGGGTCGCCCTGAGCTCCCCGTGGCGCCTGCTGCCGCCCCGCCTGCTCCCCGCTCCGAACCCGCGCCCAGCAGGAGACAAGGAATAAAAAGCAGAGGGAAAAAAAATGTCTTTCTTCAACTTTCGCAAGATCTTCAAGCTGGGCGGCGAGAAGAAGAAGAAGCAGTACGAGCATGTCAAGAGGGACCTGAACCCGGAGGAGCTGTGGGAAATCATCGGCGAGCTGGGAGACGGCGCCTTCGGGAAGGTCTTCAAGGTGAGGGCGCCCCGAGGCCGCGCTGAGGGGCGGCAGGAGTTGAGGGGGGGGGGGTCAGACGGGTGCGGCGCCCACCTGCCGCCCCAGCGCCTGTTGCTCGCGGCCGCCGCGGAAACTAAAGATAGAAAAAAGACCTATTAGGTCATTGTCCCGCCTCCTGCTCCACCCTGGCCCTGCCGAAACCCTCACTTCCCCTCTAGCTTATTTTATTTATTTTTTTTTCCGGGACTTAGCACGGCTTCTGATCTTTCAAAGACTGCAATTTTCCACTTTTCAAAACTGTACTTTTTTGTTGCTGTTTTGAACTTTTCCTCCACAAAGAATCCCACCATCAGCAAGACTCACTGTTGCGTCCCTTCCATACTTCCAGGGTCTTCCTTTAAGTGGGCATTTGCCCTTTTCGTCCCTTGGAGAGCTGAATGAATTGTTACTGATATGCCCAGGCTTTCCTCCAGTCTGTGGCCTCCTAACTTTTCCCAGTTGCTTTGCCTTGAATTCTTGGAGTTTACCAGTACAAGTAGCATTTTTAAGGATATTTCACTTGGGATTCCTCCAGCAAAATAGAGTATATTGAGCTATCTGTAATGCTGCTAGTGTTGGAGAAGGCTATAGCTTACAGGCACTTMATAGCTACTTCTTTCCTCCTGAAATTATATTAATGCCTGGCTTTTGCGAAAGGAATAGTGTGGAACAAGGGTCATGGAGGATAAGCATCAGAGTTGGGGACTGACAAGAGCTGAGACTCTGGGGTAAGTTCTTGAGACTAGGTGGGGGGAAAAACAGTTGGAGAAAGATTAGCATTAGCCTTTCTGAAAGGTAGCTATTTTCAGCCAAGAAACACTTGTATTTATAGTACTGTATTCAGGAGTTTATGAACTCTGTATAAGGAGCTTGCACTTGAAAAACCTATGCTATTTTTGGTAGAAACAATTTTAGATTTTATTAGCRTAGTGTTGTCTGTGAATTTGGACAAGACTGTATTGCCGTGGTTCAGAATGTTAGGTGTTCTTTTTTGGGGAATTTAGGTAAATGTCTATTTTAAGAGTTATCAAGCTTGTTTTGTATAATATAGTCTCAGTGATGGTTCTTAGATCAGTGTGAAATATTAAAGAATTTTTGATTAAAATGACCAGGAAATATGTCTGAAGTTGCTGTATCATAAAGCTCAATGACTTGAAAAACAGAGTGTTTAGCCTAATAGCATTTGCAGAGCATTCAAGTTTTTCTTTGAACTTCATAGTGGAGTTTTGACCTGGTTTTCATCACTATAATGCCTTGTCCAGTGGAGATAACTGGGAGGATCCTGAAAGAAACAGTACCAATCATTTTCCCCACCTCCCTCAAACATTTCCCGTTCCACCTTCCAAACTTCCATTCATATTTATCTTTAAGTGTGTTTGTCTTAAAAAGTCTGTATAGGAAGATCTCTGGGCAAGATAACCGGCAAATTCTGCATTTCAGGGTGCTTTATATACAACAAGAGAGTTTTCTAGTTTGATATGATTTTCAGTGTRTGATTTATTTCTATTGTTAAAATGACAAAGTATAAGCTGTTCAATATGAATTTTTCAATTACTGCTTTTTAAATGAGTCAGAATGACACGTGTAATTACACAGATAAATTTCAGGAACATAGCACACGTGAAAATTAACAGGTTCTAGTAGTCCTGAAAAAAAAGTCCTATGCAGAAAAAGTGAGGAGAGCATTACTGATTGCATTCAGCTGCATTCATTTTATTTCCATGTAGTTTGAGAAAGATTCCATAAAGAACAACATAACAGACTTTTGCTTTTGAAATACTTTCTTGCCAAGCATGCAGAAGCACACACATAATATCTGTAGGTAAAGATACTTTTCTTTACGGAGAAAAGATTAATGTCAGTTACATTGGACAAAACAAGATTCCCTTTGTTTGCTTTGTTTTGGATTATGTTGTCCATTAAAGCATGCTTCATGAACAAACTTCAGGAATTTAAGCAACTACATTTTAAATTCCTGTAAAGATGAAGCAGGTAAAAAGTGATCAGAGCATTTTTAGTTGCCATTCAGTTAGGGATGGCATTAGAGGAAATTTCTTGGTCACAACACCCTCCCATAGCTAGGAGGCAAGTGTATCCTGGATCTCAGAAAGTATTTKAGCCTAGTGCTATCTCCTTCATTCTCTCAGAAGAATAAAAGGTACTTGATAGACTGYTTTTCTTTCCTTTTTATCATGAAATAAAAATTAATTGAAACCAGTCTGTCAGCAGATCTAAAGAGATATGTTATGTTCTTTGTTTCTCCTCTTTAAATTGGATTTGCTTAGGTAAAACATCTTTGTAATTAATTAAGATCCTAGGTGTCAGTGTGTGAGTATCTTTGTTCTCAGTATTTTGATAGGTATGTGATAAAAGGGAATTGCCTGAAAAAKGAGGGTTTGTGTACTGTGAATTTTTAATAAATTATAGATTATGTTGGTTACTTCCTATGACTTCTAGAAAAGTATTTTATTTAGCTAACTCACTTCTTGGTGGCAAAATATCACATATTTAAATAAAAAGCCGATGGTTACTGTTAACTGTACATGACATACACATCACAGAAATGCTATGTTTATTGATGTTAATATTAAGTACAGAAGTCTCAGCGTATTGAAAACTTAATTCATTCCCTCTCTTCCCCAAGAACGTGGGCCTTGTTTATTTTTTACCCCAATGATTTATTGTCAGCTTAACTACAAGAGCGTATTTTCTCAAAACTGTTCTGTTCCAGTTTTGTAATATTTGCTTAGCTCTGAAAATTCATACATTTGGATTCACTCACTTCTAAATAATGTTTAGAATTTCTGAATTAAAATTTGAGTGTTTGAGCCCCTCTTTCATGATAGGGGATCTGTAACTGAAGCTTGCTGATTGAAAAGGTTTAGATTGTGTAGGGCTCTTCATTCTGCCCCCTTTTCAGCCACTTCAAAGACAGTGGCCTTTTTAGCCTGTTTTGTTCTCTTTTTACTCTTGGCTGGTGAACAATAGTGTGTTTTTC